GAGGGATTTCAGAGCTAAAAAGAGGACTCAGCCTATAAAGGACCCTGCAGAATCCCTAAGCAGAATGTGTCCCTTCCGGGGGACGTGCACCCTACATTGCTGATTTGGATAGGATAGACAGGGGGAGTAGGGTTGCTAAAATCTACAGCCCAGAAGGGACCCAAGGTCAGGTACCACTGCCCAAAAATAAGAGTTCAGCTCAAGATTCCAAAGAGCCAAAGTCACAAAGACCTGCAGTCTTTCCTCTCTGAAAGCAGGAAAAGAAGAGAACAAATGGCTTTGTGGACAGGAAGGAAGAAAAGGGAAAGGACCACAATGTGTGAGGCAAAGGCTGGAGTAGGAGGAATGGGTCAGCAAGGAGGAGCGAGGCCCTGTCAGTCACAGGACATTTGCTTACAGGGGACACCAGCTTAGTTCTCTACCTATTGTATGCCTTTAGGAAGTGTAGGGGGAGCAGTTTAAAACACAGACTTTGAGGTCCAGATTGGCTGGGTTTGAGTTAGTCAGATGCACCCCTCACCAGTTCTGGGACTTTCTGAACTTCAATCTCCCTATTTGTAAAAGGGGGGTCAAGAGTGCTACTTCCATAACAGTGCTACTGAGGAATAAATGAAGCTGGTGCTAAGCCACAGAGCCTGCCCAAAAAGAAAAATGTAAGCTGATGTTTCTTTTCCAATTGAGTCACTTTCCAAGTGTCCTTGCTCATTCAGGGGATCACTGCATGGATGACTGGGAACTCCCTCAGGTATTACTCACCCAGCATTGTTACCCCATTTGGAGAAAGAATTCTGTGTTTCTACTGTGTACCCTCTGGTTTCATGTGGGTCATTGGCTAGGAAGATGGCGCATAAGTGATGGGTAAGCAAGGAAAGGGAAACCAACCTGAGAGGACAAATGTCCACTATGTGAAAATCCCAATGGAGAAAGTTCAAAAGGATAGAAATATCGTATATTTCCCAAACATCCAGGAAGGGAATAAATACTTCCTAAGATGGCGTGGTGTAACTCAAAAGGCTTAGAAAGACTCCCAGTCTCACCCAGTCCTTCCCAATAAAACCCCATAACTAAAATGTCATTTATTCAGTTTATTGGTGACAAGACTAACCACCTCCTTGTGAATTTCCAAGTGACACAGGTAAGTGGGGTAGAAAGTGTGTACACACACACACACACACACACACATTTGTTATTGACAGATATACAAAAGTGAAATGACTTCCCCAAGGCATAAGGAAATATACAGTGCTGTCAGGTCCCACTAACTGGGAAGAGGCTAAGCTAGTGCCACTGAGAAACATCACACAGGTCCACGGATTCCAGATTTAAGCACGAAGGTAATCAAATACCCTATTGGCACCAGGGCAAACTGTCCCAGGAGAGAGGTAGAAAGACACAGTGAAAGAAAAGGGAAAGATTCCAGAGTCAGATGAATACCTTTACCAGGAGGAGTATAAAGGGAAGTGTCTCAGGTTGGAGGTATCAGCAAGGATTTTCAAGGTCATAAACTCCAACTTAGCACTCCTAATCTATATTAATATAATATATTATACTTAATATATTTTATTAATATATTTAATATATTTATACATACATGAATATCTATAAGATACTTTTCAATTTTATTTATTTATTTTTAAAAGTTTTTGTGTATATTAACATACTACATACACACACACACACACACACACACACCCCCCCTTATAATAGCCAGTTGTGGAAGAAAAGTATATAGACGGCATAATTCCATTCCTGTTTATAGTGTGCATATAACTTTATGCAGACAAAAACACACAACCCTCATTCTCTGGGAAATGCAATTATGAGAAACTTTTGAATTATAAAATTCATAGAAAGACTCATTAGTTTTTAAACGCAGACGCAAAATCAGACCACAAAAATAAGTATGTAAGATGCTACATAGTAATTAACTCTATTTTAGCCATTCCATAATTATATATATTTCTAAAAATTAAGTTGTACATCATAAATATACAAAATTAATTAAGATATATGTATACTATACAGAATATTTAAAATAAAATATATAAATATAAATATACATAATATATAAAATATATAAAATTATATACATATAATACATAAAATTATATTAGAAGAGAGGGAGAGGAAGAAAACATATATAATATAAAGATTAATATGGAAGTTACTCCTCATTCCAACCCGCCAACATCACTTTAAAAGGCAATAACATTCACATAAATAAAACCATACCAAACATAACATATAAAAAAAGAGCCAGATGCAGTAGCGCACACCTGTAATCCCAGTAGCTCAGGAGGCTGAAGCAGGAGGATCATGAGTTCAAAGCCAGCCTCAGCAAAAGCAAAACACTAAGCAACTCAGTAAGACCCGGTCTCTAAGTAAAATACAAAATAGAGCTGGGGATGTGGCTTAGTGATTGAGTGCTCCTGAGTTCAATCTCCAGTATCAAACAAAAAAGATCTTCATTACAAAAATGGATTTATGGTATATACATTATTTCACACTTGTTTTGATCACTGAACAAAACATCACAGGTGGTACAGTAACAGTGGTAACACAGCTTAGCAATGAAAAGCTCCAGCTCTGTCACCCACAGCCTGAACTCAAATCCCAGCTCTGACACTAACTGCCAGAAAAGGTAAGTCACTTAAGTGCACTAAACCCTGATTTTTTTTTTATCTATAAAATAAGAAAAATAATAGTAACCTATTCTTAGGATCTGGAGGGGAAATATGGTAAAAGACGTGCAAATGTCTACTTTAATGTATGGCATATTCGGTGCTAACAAATGTTGGCTGACATTAGCCATCTTATTCCTTTAGACACAGGGTGAGATTTGGTAAAACAATACACTAAAAGTTGTTGATAAGTTCAACTATATGTGCATATGTAGGTTATTTGTGGATTATTATTAGTTGTTGGTTTGGTATTATAAGCAACACATAATAAAGATCAGAACATCCTTGTCTTTGTGACACACATTAATGACTATTTCTAAAGGACAGATTTTTTAAGCTGAATTATTGGATAAAAATGTGTAGATTTTCAATCCTGACAGAGATTACCAAAGGTCCATGCCAATTTGCCCTCTCATTCACAGCATGTGAAGATCTGTTTACTTTTGGGTATTAGAAAAGGAAATTATTGCCAATCTGATAAGTGAAAATTGTGTTTCAGTCTAATCTGTGTTTTCTGATTACCAAGTATGAACATCTTGCCATGCGTCTTCGTAATAACTGTGTTGCAGATATTTTCTGTGAGTCAAGAGCTTATATTCTAGCTGCTGTTTTCTCCTTGCTGATCATCTCTTGGTGTTTCTTTCACAGTTTTCGAGTCATTCTTCCTTCTGCATTTCACTTCTTGCTTGGAATGCTCTTCCCATCCTGACACCACAGAAATACACCCCTTTAATTTTAGCTATTTATTTCAAAGTGCATATTTTTTCACTTCTAGATTTTTCCCTCATCTGGGTTTGAATTGGATAAAAATTTAGGTTTATTTTCTTGAAATGTTCCAATTGTTATAAATATCAACCAACAGACAAGACTGTCTCCAGTGTAATTTAATGAGCTTTATTATTTATTTAGTTCAACATAGATTATGATCAAAATACATGTATAAAACATAAAAATACATGTATAAAACATCTAAAAAGAAAGTTACTTATTTTTGTCCATTTTAGATTAAAATAATGGAATTATTTTATTGTTTGGAATTATTCTGTGCTTTGACTTAAGGTTAGGAAACTTCCCATCATTATTATAATACTTTATAATTACCTTCTTTGTCCCTAATCTTTACTCTTAATGAATTTTAGGTCTTACTTCCTTTTTTATTTTCTTTTTCTTGCTTTTTAAAATTTGTTTGGAGGGTTTTTGTTTGTTATGCTTTTTTATTTTGTTTTGTTTTGTTTCATCCCTCTGGTTTATTCTCAACAATTTTTAGACTTCCTTGCCATTTCAACTGAAATCTTATCTCATTACGTTTCCTAATACAGGATGAGTATCAATATTTTGAGATTTATCTTATATGCCTAACCACTTTGATGAAATCTTGATAAGTTTTAGAAGGCTTTCAGGTGATTATTATCTTGAATTTCCTTCGTACAAAATCATGTCATTTAAAAGATTAACAAGTTCATCTTTTCTAGTATGTATACTCTCTATTTTTTTCACCATTGAGCAATACAACTTAAAACAGGAAATGGGGCTATCCTTGCGGTATTTTTTCTATGATATTGTTGGGAATGGAACTCTAACATTCTAAAGTTCAGTATCCTGTACTACTTGAACATTTAGAGTGAGGATATCATAGTGTTTGATAACCAGAAACAATAACATATTTAAGGATCTCATTTAGTAACATGAGCTGTTCCTGGTAGTGTTCCTATTTTGAACACATCTCTGAACCAAAATTTTCAATTAGATTATTCACATACTATTATTCAAACACAAATATTTAAACAAACAATAAGAAAGTTATGCTCTGGAAGACAAAGGAAATACATGAATTCTATGGCTATCAAGAAGCATTAATTAATTCTGCTGTTCATTTCTATATTATCTCCACTAACAGCACTAACTCCAGCACTATGGAAAGAAGACTCTGAACGAGAGGACCTCATTCCTGGGAACCTCAACTGATACTAGAGAGACTCAGCATCTCTGTCTCTAAAATAAAGGGAAAAAAAGTTAAATATCAGTCAAGAAACAATCTAAAAAGAATTTTATGAAAGTGAAATGACGACAATTCAGACAAATCAGGCCACATAGAAGTTCCTAAAAACACATGGAAAACCATCTTTTTCTAACTTGGTAAGAATCTTGGAGTGTTCTGACTTGATCCCTGATTAATTTTACTTACCTGTCTTGAATTCCATAAAATGAACATATTTTTAATGCCTAACAAATGCCACTGGGCTATGTTTATAGGCCTGAGGTCAAGGGAGAAGCAGTCCTGAGAGGTTGCCCTGCGCATCTGTCCCACGACTCCTCCAAATCCTGTCCAGAGACATGGAGTTAAAGAACCAGAGCAGCAGCACCTCGGGCTTCATCCTCCTGGGCCTCTCCTCCAACCCGCACCTGCAGAAGCCCCTCTTCGCCATCTTCCTCAGCATGTACCTGGTCACCCTCGTGGGGAACATGCTCATCATCCTGGCCATCCGCTCTGACTCCAGGCTCCACACACCCATGTACTTTTTTCTCAGCAACTTGTCCTTCATGGACATCTGCTTCACAACAGTCATTGTGCCCAAGATGCTGGCGAATTTGCTGTCAGAGACAAAGGGCATCTCCTATGTAGGCTGCCTGGTCCAGATGTATTTCTTCATGGCTTTAGCAAACACTAACAGCTACCTGCTGGCCTCCTCCATGGCCATCGACCGGCTGGTGGCCATCTGCAACCCCTTGCACTATGATGTGGCCATGCGCCCACGTCACTGCCTCCTCATGCTGCTGGGTTCTTGCACTATCTCCCACCTGCACGCCCTCTTCCGGGTGCTACTCATGTCTCGCCTCTCTTTCTGTGCCTCTCATGTCATTAAGCACTTTTTCTGTGACACCCAGCCTGTGCTAAAGCTGTCCTGCTCTGATACATCCTCCAGCCAGATAGTGGTCATGACTGAGACCCTGGCTGTCATTGTGACTCCCTTCTTGTGCATCCTCTTCTCCTACCTAAGAATCATTGTGACAGTGTTCAGAATCCCCTCTGCAGCCGGCAAGTGGAAAGCTTTCTCTACCTGTGGCTCCCACCTCACCGTAGTGGCTCTGTTCTATGGGAGTGTCATCTATGTCTATTTTAGGCCCCTGTCCATGTACTCAGTGGTGAAAGACCGGGTAGCCACTGTCATGTACACAGTAGTGACTCCTATGCTGAACCCTTTCATCTACAGCCTGAGGAACAAAGATATGAAGAGAGGCTTAAGGAAATTAAGGGACAGAATTCACTCATAGAAAGAATGAAATGATACAATATCATTATTGGGAGATGACCTAAAAGTTGACCAGGTTATCCTTCCTCCTAACCATTTTCTACAAGGTGCTCAAAGAGGTCATGAGTGATGGAGATGCTGGCTACCAGTGAGGACACTGGATGGGAACAAAACACTTGGTTTCTGTCCATGACATTGACCAAAGACATATTCAATACCCAACTAGGTGTCACTAGTAATCCAGATGTCATGAAAATAGTTTTGAAATCCTCCACACATGGACTTAATGTATCTCCAAATAACTCTTTCAAGGAGTTGTGAATCTTGTTGGCTTCTAGAAATTAAATGGGTCTGATAGGGAACTGGAAAAGATATCTTGGATGAATCAGCCATTCTGAAGACTGGACTGAACACTGACAGAGGAAGCTTCAAAAGATGAGGAAATGGGCAGAATATCTCAAATACTGGAAATAAACCTAATATGCAGCGATAATAAACATAGCAATGTTTGAGTGACAGAGAAAAGCCCTGTGAGGCTTCTTCAATTTGAGAATAAGGTGAACTGGGTGCCATGGTGCATGGCTACATTCCCAACAGTTCAGAAACTGAGGCAGGAGGATCAAGAGTTCAAAGCTATCCTTAGCAAAAGTGAGTCTCTAAATAAAATGCAAAATCGGGCTGGGGATGTGGATCAGTGGATGAGTGTCCCTGAGTTTAATCCCTAGCACCCAAAAAAAAAATTATAGAGTAAGATGAATAAAGCTGGAAAGACAGAAAAAAACTGCAAACATGCTTACTCTTCTCATCCACATTTGAGTGTCACGACAGGTGGATCCTCAGTACCCAACTCCTCCCACCCCCCAACATTTCTTCCTTTTTCCACCCATCCAGCATCCTCACTCAGCTGCCCTTCCATAGCACAGCTAGGTCATGCTGTGCAAAGAGCAACTTCCAAACCTTAGGACCAAAAAGCCAAAGCTTTACTTCTCATTTATATGAAATGTCCACCATAGAAAAGTGTAAGGGTGCTGCTCATTTTAAGCACTCAGGGACCCAAGGTTATGGGGCAGCCACATTATAAACATTAGCCATCCCTTTGTTAGAAGCTGTTGAGGATTTTGCATTTCCATTTAAATACTCTGTCCCAGGAGTGACCCACACCACTTTTGACTAGAACTCTGTCGACAGCGAATCTCATGACCACAAACCCTGGGATCCAGGAGGCATGGCCCAACCATGTGCCCAAAAGAAAAGGGGCTAAGCAGGCTGGGGTTGTGGCTCAGTGGTAGAGCGCTTGCCTAGCATGCGTGAGGCACCTGTTTCGATTCTCAGCACCACATAAAATTAAAATAAAGGTATTGTGTCCACCTACAACTAAAACAAATTTTTTTAAAAATCTGTTTAAAAAGGGGGGGAGCTGAGATTGTGGCTCAGCGATAGAGCGCTCACCTAGCATGTGCGAGGCCCTGGGTTCGATCCTCAGCACCACTTAAAAATAAAGATATTGTGTCCAATTACATCTAAAAAAAATTTTAAAAAGAAAAGGAGCTAAGCATGTTTGGTGAACAGCATTAATGGCGACTGCACATCTAAAATAACATGCAAACACCTCAGCATGGTAGCTGCTTCATAAAGCCTCCCCAACTATTAATTCACATATTTGCAGCCAACTTATTTTTGACAAAGACATCAATAACATACATTGGAGAAAGGGCTGTCTCTTCCATAAATGGTGAGAAACTACACACACACACACACACACACGCACGCACGCACACACATGCACACACGCAAAAGAATGAAGCTAGACTCTCCATCTCTCACTATATACAAAAATCAACTCAAATGGATAAAGGGCCTCAGAGTAAGACCCCCAAATGTAAAACTATAGGGGAAAACACTTTAAGACATTGATATAGGCAGAAATTGAGGGTAAAATTACCCCATAAAATGTAACAATAGAAAAATGGGATTATATCATATTATAAAGCTTCTTCAGGGAGTGGGATTTAGCTCAGTGGGAGAGTACTTGCCTAGTACCCGCAAGGCCCTGAGTTTGATCCTCAGCCCTAAGGGGAGAATAAAGAAGTTTCTTCACAACAAAGGAAACAATCAGTATAGTGAAGAGACAACCATCAGAATGCCATATATGGTGACCCATGCCTGTAGTCCCAGTCACTCCAGTGGCTGAGGTAGAAGAATATCAAGTCTGAGGACTGTGTGGACAAGTTAGCAAGGCCATGTCTTAGAACTAAAAAATTTTCCAAAAAAGAGCTGGGAATATAGTTCAGTTGAAGAGCACCCCTGAGTTCAATCCCAGTACAATATATATATTTTTTTCAGCTATTCACTGGACAAGGGATTAATATCCAGAATATATAAGGAACTCAGAAAGCTCAACAACAACAAAATCAGATTTTAAAAATGAGAAAGTGATTTTGAACACATGCATATTTCTCAAGAGAAGAAGATCTATAAATGGCCAACAGGTGTTTGGAAAAAAATGTTCAGCACTAACCACCAGAGAAATGCAAATCAAAACCACAATGAAATATTATCTCACCTCACCTCAGTCAGAAAACAAATAATATACAGAAAGCAAAACATGACAAGTGCTGGTGAGAATGCAGAAATGGACTCTCAAACACCTTGTGGGACTGTAAATGAGTACAACCATTGTGGAACACAGAATGGTGCCTCCTCAAAATATACTAACCATAGAAATACTGGATGAGCCAGCTAACCCACTTCTGGTTCTGGGTCCAAAATAAATGAAATAATGATATCAAAATGATACCTGCATATTCATGTTTATTGTAGCAATATTCATAATAGTCAAAATATGAAATCAACCAACATGTCCATGAACTGGTGAATGGAAAAGGAAATATAGCAATGGACTATTATCCATCCATAAAAAGAATGAAATCCTATCCTTTGCAGCAATGTGGATATGTGGCACTAAAGGATTATTATGTTGAGTGAAGTAAGCCAGGTTAACACCACATGTTCTCACTCACATGGAAGCTAAAGGGTTATCTCACAGAAGAGAGTAGAGGGGAGAAACAGAAAAATACCAAAATGCACTTAGACAAGAGGAATAAGTTCTAATGTTCTGCAGCACAGTAGAGTGATTATAGTTGATGACAACTTGTTATACATTTTATAATAAACTATAAGAGAGGACTTGACTCCAAACACAAAGAAATGATAAATGTGTAAGGAAATGTTACTCACCCTGATGGGATAACCACACATTGTATACCTATTCGGGTGGTCATACTATACCCCTTAAAATGTACAATTATTATGTGTCAATTAAAAATAAATTTTAAACAGAAAAGGAAAGAAGCAAGTTGGAAAATATACTCCATTTAGAATGTGTCAATTGGAGGTGACCATGGGAATTTTGTGAAGTGTTGGTGGATCACTCCTGTGGAGCTCAGGAATGAGCCCTTACTCTGGAACCCTACAGTCCTGTCTCCATAGGAACACACGCAGTCCTCAAGAAACATCAGAACCCAGTCAACTAACTCCATAGAGCTCAATAGGGCAAAGTAGGGAATGAAAAATGGCAGGAATATGGATATCAAATGGCATAGAAACATTCAGACCATCATCATCATTATCATGAGTATCTCTTGATTGATAACTACATGCAAGAGACACAAAATTTTCAGGATTCAATGTACAACAAAAATGCGACATCCCTTATTCAAAAAGTAAACGAAGTTTAACACAGTGACAGTAGGGTACCAAGTTCTTCTGAGCACTGGGAGCACACCTATGAATTTGACCCTGGAGCCCGGCAATCTATTTAGGAAACAAAATTGTTTAATAAGATAATGAGGTAAGAATGGGTATTATCTCTGTTTCATAAATGGGCAAACTGAAGCATGCAACTATCTAGCAATTTGGCTATTATACCACTAGTGATCATCTAGACACAGACCTTCCACACTTCATAAAAGTTAACTCAATGAATCACAGACCTAAATTAAAAATGAAAAACTATAGAAGTCCTAGAAAATAATAGATAAGAAAACCTAGATGGGCTTGGAAATGGCATTAACTCCTTAGATAAAACACCAAAGACAAGATCAATGAAAAAATAATTCATGAGCTGAAATTCATTAAAAATAAAAGCTTCTGTTCTGAAAAGAGAATTGTCAAGAGAATGAGAAGACAAGCCATAAGCTGAGTGAAAATATTTACAAAAGGTGTATCTGATAAATGACTGTTACCCAGAATGTCCATAGAGAATTTTTAGCTTAACAATAAAGCCATTATACTGAAAAATTGACCAAAGACTGAAAGACATACCTCACTAAAGAAAATTCACTGATGGAGAATAAGCATATGAAAAGACACTGCATGTCATATGTCATGATAGGAAAATGCAACATAAAACAACACAGCTATTAGAATGGCCAAAATCCAGAACATCAACAATAACAAATGCTGAAGAGAACTTAGAACAGGAATTCTCCCTGATAGTTGGCTGGAATGCAACCCAGCACAATCTTTTTGGAAGAGAATTTGACAATGTCTTACAAACCTTAATGTTCTTTTACCAAACAATCTAGCAATTGTACCCTTTGGTATTTACTCAAGAGCATTAAAACTTATGTCCACATAAAAACCTGCACATAGACATTTGTAGCAGCTTTATTCATAATTTACAAAGCATAGTATGATCAATAAATAAACAAATAAACTTTGAACATCCAGACAATGGAATCATGTTGAGTGCTATAAAGAAAAGAATATCAAGCCATAAAAATATACAGAAACAGCTGAAATGTGTATTTAAACACCAAGAGTGAATCCTAATGCAACTATGGACTTAGGTGATAATGATGTCAAGTGAAACCACAGGCACCTCCGATAGAAAATTAATCTCCAAGATAAAGAACTCAAAAAACTTAACACCAAAAAAATCAAATAACCCAATCAATAAATGGGTAAAGGAACTGAACAGACACTTTACAGAAGAAATACAATTGATGAACAAAATGTTCAACATCTTTAGCAATTAGAGAGATGCAAATCAAAACTACTCTAAGATTTCATCTCACCCCAGTCAGAATGGCAATTATTAAGAATAC